CGGCACCAATCTACACAAGCCGCCTTTTGCTCTTCGGACAAATTGTAGGGAACCCAGCGGGAAACTAGCTTTCTTATACACAGCTCATTATGTAATATCAACTGAATTGCAATCATTCCGATACTGATAACAGCCTGAATCTGCTCGTACGTCACATGACGGTCATCTAATATAATAGTTCGCACAGCTGCGATGCTTTCAGGCTAAACTGCTTTTCTTGGTCGATCTACAGAAGAAACAGTGCTGAGCGACGCAGGACCGCGTCGGAACTCGGCATACCAGCGGTATATTTTCGTTTGACTCGGTGCTTCAACATCATAAATCGAAACAAGTTCTCTGAGACATTTATCTTGAGGTAGCCGCGATGAAAATTGTGAAAAATTATCGCGCGGAAATGTTCACGCGTGAGCTCCATTTCTGTTAACGACGTGTCAACTTTAAACCAACATAGGTTTTTTTAAACATTTTTTTAATTGTTTGAATGTCATTTAGGTTCTAAGAGGCCAGTATTCAAATTCTAAAAAAGGTTTTATTGTAACTCAATCCAAAATATTCTATTCCCGATCATTTCAGTGTTCCCCTCCGTATATAAAAAGAAAAATATCTCCTTTGCCATATTTGATACGAAAGAAGAGATCCGTGAGAACATATTGTTTTAGAATAGTACCAGTTGTTTTTTACATTTTCATTAATTACACAGGGTATTTTACCCATTTTCAAAAATTCGTTTAAATTAATCCTAGAGTGATAATGAACCACTTTTATATAATTTTTTTAAACCCGAATAGTGACATAAAATTACTTTAAATCTATTGTTTTAAATTTTCGCGAGAAAACGCTAGCCGACATGTTGTTTACCTAACTCGTGAATCACAGTCGCCGATTCTGCCGATTTTGCAAATGAATAAGATACTTTTAATGTTTAATAATGAGTTATCATCTAAATCATTATTGTGTTGTGCCTGAATACAAAAATACATGCATAAGAATGCCGGGAAAGTTATGAATTCAAATGCTTACTGATTTAAATATAGGTAAGAAATACTTTGCTAAAACTGGCAAGAAGATACCCGAATACATTGTCTACATAAACCAATCTATTCTTCTGTGAAGATTAATTTGATATAAGTATGACTTAAATTTAACTATAGTTTAATAAAAAAAACATCATGAGGTGAAGGGTATCGCAAGTCAAATTTTGTAATAAATTACGTTAACTTAGATATTAGAACTAATGATTGCTAATGATTGTAATTGTAGATAAACTAAACTATGATAGCTACTAAAATATGTTTTTATCAAAATAAACTCTAACCTGGTATTGTATTTTTGTATAAACAAAAGTTGGTAATAGGTACTTACATTGATGCTTTAACATTCCTCAACTCAGCAGAACAAAAATTGCGATCGCATGCAAAAAATTTTGCCACCATCAATTTATTTATCCTTTGTAAATCTACCAAGCAGAAAGTACTAATCAGTACTTTCTGCTTTGACGAATCCGTCTTCCATGATGCCTTTTTAATAAAATTCGTAATAAAACTCAATAATCGTAATGATAACTTGAAAATTTTCGAAATAACACAGCACGTTAGCTAGTTCTCTTAATCAGTGATACAGAACACTAATATCCTCAGGCTGGATCAGTGACGTCATGACATGGCTAATATGGCGGACACCGTTTTACAGATTTACATTGAGTTATACAACACTAGAGGAGCAAACCACATTACCGCGAGTCGAAAAAAATGTAACCACTATCCAAACGCGAAGACGTAGCTTTGAAACTAATAACAATTTTAAGTAAACATATATCTATCTCACTTACACAAGTTGCGAAAACAATATCGTCGCTAAGATTAGATAAAGATAGACACACAAACATGCAATGGCGGGTTGGTGTGGCTTACTATATGAAATTTTACCTAAAATACGCAATAAAAATGAGTTTTTTTAAGCTGCAGTTAATTGTTTTTATATTAAAAAGTACATTTTATTTTAAAATCTTTATTACGTCCCCTTAGAAAAAAAGGATACAAGATTATCAGATGAATAGAAGTAAACATAATGATGAAATAAAACGTATTTGGTACTAATAAATCAAAAAATATAAAAATAGGTAATAAAATATAATTAATATAAAATTTATATGAAATTATAAATAATATAAATTTATTAATATAATATAGGTAATAAAATATATTTAATGGATAATATATGAATAAACTAAAATAAGAATAATTAATTATTTTGTATGAAAGTTAAAACGTAGTTTTAATTATAATTTCCAAAATATTTAAAATCAGAGGCAACAAATTAACTTACTCCATTAATTATATAGTCTCCCATTAATGTAGTATAATCACAAATGTGGAAAAGTGGCAACATTGAACCTAAATGGCAATATTCGATAATTTTATTTAATTATTTGAGGTTTTTTACGTTTATATGAAAATAAGAACTAAAAATTATGTGTTGAAAGTGATTCCGCTTGATTTATTACGTTTTTGTGACCTTGAATAGTATTCTTTCACTACGCATTTACCCATTTTTTTGTCCCGGCTCAACTCTGTCGACGTCACATTGAACACTGAACTGACGTTAGCTAGGCATATGGCTGTGGCCATATGTACAGTGGCAACGCTTTGGCGCGGTTATTACTGATCTAGTGTTATATAAATCAATGCAGATTTAAGGCAAAGACGAAAAGAATATTCTTAAAATTGAAATATAAAATTTATAATGCAATTTTATAAACAGAAATCAACTTTTCTCGTTTACTTTTTACAAAATCTATCATAAATATATATTTTTTTTATTTTATTTTACATGGTGTAAAATACCCTATTAAACGAGACCAAATCACTCAGTGACTAAAGTCTCTGATTATTTTTTTTTTAAAACATTAATTCTAAGGCGTACACTACACGCTTATGCAGGCTGTCAGTTTTACAACAATCATGGTTGTGATTGACTTATAACCTACCGTGTAATGCATTGAATGACGCCTGCATGAGCGCGTAATGTATGCCTATCAGTCACCATCCGTTTTGTATCAATCATGATTGATGGAATTGATTGACGCCTGCATGAGCGTGTATGTACGCCTAACGACCGTAATCGTGCGCCATCCACACATGCAGACATCTGGACACCCTCGAATTTTTTTTAATCAGTTGTTTTTATACTAAATACAGAAAATTACTTTTAAAAATAATAGAAACATGAAAACAAGTGATTTTTCTCGATATATGTGTATTTTTGTTGTTCTAAAAGTACAGTAATAAGTAGTAGTAGTAGTAAGACATTTTTAGCTCAGAAAATTACTGGATTTCCATCAGGTGAGAGTAGAGCACAACCTCAACGCTTCGCTTATGAGGCGTGCAAAAGGGATTTGTCCTATCTTTACCGGTTAAAAACATAATTAAATATGATCTGTAAATTACTAGAGACAAAATTTCAAAACAATTTCCTTTTTTTTCGTGGCATCCGATCGTATTCCTGATATAAAGAAATTATAATTTTGTGGTTCTCAAACTTTATTGTGACATAAAATGAAATTACTCAATATAAGGGAAAGATTATTTGATTGTTTTACTGGGAAAGAAAATTTTATTTCAAAAAATATAGAGTTTAAATAAAATATAACAGGAAAAACTAATGAAATGCCCTAGTATTGCTCTACAGAAGCAGAGGAAGATGTAAGTATTTTAGCAAAGCAGCATATGGCGAAGCAGGAGGTGATTTTGACGTTCCGAAGATTAGTTCTAAATAAATTTTGTTATTATCAGTTGTTAAAAGCCATTGATTTAATGAATAGGTAAACAAAGCGAAATATTTCAGTAAAACGTAAGTTAACAGCATTTTAACTGTTTCAAAAATTCTAATTTTAGAAGTCATTCATCACCATATTGATGCGAAATGCGAGGAATTATAAATGTTTTAATGTGTATTTAAAAAAATATATCCTCAAAATAAAGCTCAATCGGGTACTTAATGCAAAATAGATTTGGTACTGATACTGAGCCCCATAGTCACTTGATCAATCTTCGAAAGAAATGAAAGTTTGATAACCACTGCAATATTTGTAACGGGTAAAGATCGGAAAATATTCATCCGATTCGATTCCGAATTCTCGCACGGGATACCATCGGATCGAGGTCCACATCGATCTTAGCCCTATTTGGATCAGTTTTATTATATATTTGGCTAAAAATAATAACAAAAGAAGCAATATTTTCGCTAAAAATCGCAAATAAAAGTGATAGGGAAAGACCTGATTGACATAAAAAATACAAAAATTACCTTGTTTTATCAAATGCGGCGCAACACACGCCCCACATCCTGGAGCAACTGGCTGGAATTTGGGGTCGGTGCAGAATTAGCATTTAGAAATATAGCATAATTCGCCGGAAACTTGAATCTTACGGTCTTGCCCTATCACTGATCTCACCCCAACGGAGCCGGGGTAGCTCAGGGGCTAAGCACTAGCTCCCCGCTAGATCCCCGTCGGCACCATTGAAATTGTAAATTGCCATTTTAAGTGCTGATTTACCACATACTCGGAGGTGAAGGAAATCATCGTGAGGAAACCTACATGTCTGAGAAATGACAAAAAAGTATTTCGAAGGCATGTGAAAGTCTACAACACGCGATGCACGGCACACATCTCTTTGTTCGAAACCCCTCTCAGAAATAAGAGGCGGCCTGCGCCAGCTGTGGGACGTAACTAATTTTAAATTCCTTAATATCATCGTAACCCGTTTTATATAAATTGTTTTAATAATAGGTACTTTATATTCCTCTGTATAATATACCAACACAACTCGTGTTTGGTATATAATCGATCAAAATACATTTGAGTTTTAGTTTTGAATAAAATATTGTATATCGAATTGCGATAAAGCCGTTTCAATAACGCATTCGCAATAAAATGCAGTTGGAGCATGTATTACTTTAGTAATGTAAAAAACTCTTGGAGTAAATGTGAGAAGTGGGCAATGTCGTGGCCGCGATGGCGCGCGCTTCAGCTCACAGTGACAGTAGCAGCTTCTGTCACTGCCATGGCCGTAACCGCAGCCAGCGGCTCCGACGAGGAAATAAATCAGGCGCTCCTGCTCGTAGAGATCCTTAAATCGGGTGAGAAATCAGCTATCAATAAATTTGCGTTTAAAAGAAATACATACTTATTACAACATGAAAAGTAAGCAAAAAATATCAACCTAAATAAGTTGGTCAAAAATATACAAAAACAGTAATCTGCCGATTTCCACAAGCTAAAATACGAGAGCGTGCAGTTGGAGTAAAGCACGTGTGCACTGTGTGCACGTGCACGAGGGCGGCACTGAAATTTTCGGGAATCAAGGAAGTGACACAACATTACTATTTAAAAATGTATTTATTGCTTTTCGAAGTATTCTCCGCGAAATTTGACACATTTTTCCACATGATGGAACCAATCAAGTTGGGGTCTCCAAAATGGCCGTTTTGTAGGCGTCCACAGCTTCTTCAGGTGATGAAAATCTCTGTCCACGCAATTTATTCTTTATATTAGGGAAAGTATAGAAATCATTAGGGCTTAGATCGGGGCTGTACGGCTGATGGTCTAATATGTGTTCTTGTTCTAAAAACTCTTTTGTTCTGTGTGCGGTATGAGAACTCGCACTGTCGTGATGGAGGATGATGCGGCGGTTGCAGTTCTCTTTACGGAGTTCAGAAACGACCTGTGGCAAACAAATGCTAGCATACCATTCTGCATTAACCGTTCTTTGTCCCTCAAGAAGAATAGTCGTAACATGGCCGGTTTTGGAGACAAACGTGGCCACCATTTTTTTTGCAACACTCCGTGAACGAACAATTTTTGTTGGCTTTAACTCATTTTCGAACACCCAAACTCGTGAATGGTTTTTTGTTTCCGGTTCGTACGCGTATATCCAGGATTCGTCACCTGATACGATGTTGTATACTGCATTTGAAGGTCTTGCGTGGAATCTTTCGAGAGTTCTGACGCACCAAGTAACACGAGCCGCTTTTTGCTCTTCACAGAGCGAATTCAGTATCCATCGGGAAAACAACATTTTTACACCTAATTGTTCAGATTATTTGTATTTGACTCATGCCAATGTCTAAAGTTGCCTGAATTTCGCGGTATGTCACATGTCGATCTTCCTCGATCAGCTTACGCACAGCATCAACGTTTTCTTGGGTGACTGCAGTTTTTGGACGACCTTGACGGGGATCATCACTGAGCTTGACACGTCCACGTTGAAATTCAGCAAACAAGCGATAAATTGTGGTTTTGGATGGGGCTTCATCACCAAATGCAGAAATTATCCGGTCGACACACTGTTTTTGTGTTAAACCACTTCGAAAGTCATAATAAATCATCGCTCTTGAATTTTCTCGAGTCAATTCCATTTCCAATACGTGGTAATTCGATTTACAATACGTGGTAGAGCCATGCTGCAGTTATATTAGTAGTATAGTTGTAGCACAAATGGGTCGGCTCGACCGGGGAGGGACCGCGCTCTCACAGAATACCAGCGTGAAATAGTAGCTTAATGCTGCTGTATTTCGTATGGTGAGTGTAGAGAACCGGAGACCCTTTTTACTGGAAACGAGGCATTCCATCTCAGTCCTCACGGGTGACAACGCATCTGCATTTTGATTTTTAATGGAGAATAGATGTAGATGTCTATGGGCCGCAGCAACCACTTACCATCAGGTGGACTGTGTGCTCGTTTGTCACCCTATTCTATAAAAAAAGAAAAAAAATTACTAAACAAGTTTGACAAAACCTTGTGACAAGACCGAGAATCTTTTTTTTAAATAAATAAATGGTATTCGATTTTTAAAACCAAGGAGTTTTCAATTAAAAAGATTTTAATATGACAGGAACAGTGGAAATATTCCATTCCCGATACTTTTAGTGCAGCCCTCGTACCTCGTACACTCGTACACTCGTGCAATCCCCACCCGTTCCCACTCACAATTTACGGTTTTTGAGAAAAAAAGTTTTTAATAAAATTTATTTCTAGCAGTCTGATGGGAGGGATATTATTATCCCTGAAAATAATTGTCAGATTTTAAGGTACCATAACTGTGACATCAAACTGAACCTTCTGTGTAATAAGCTGACACGCTCAAGTATCTCACGCGCTGGATTTCCGAACACAAAGGGATTTACATCGCATGCATCGATTTGCATGTTGTAGGCTCCTTGTACGTCCACACTTGACCGGCTCAGCTAGTGCTCGGCTCCTCTGGCGTAGACCCACCTGTAGAGTATAAATAAGCAAGCAATGCTTATAAATATTCTAAGGTTAAAACACATTATTGATGATTCAAAGTGAACTTTGAAATATAAACTTGAAATTTTATTTCATTTAATTTTAAAATTAATTTATATTGGCAGTGAATATGAAAGAACGTATAGTATTAGATCAAACTCACGATTTCCTGTTTACTAGACAGGTACTTTAACCAACTAAGGCAAAGCGCCTCTTTAGCATATTTAAAAAAAAACAAATACATACATAAACACTCACGCCTGTCACCCAGAGGGGTTGGCAGGTACTACAGACTTCCAATTATTACGATCCTGACACGCCTCTCTCGCCTCCTTCTCATTCATATATCTGCGCATACATGTTCGTCGGTTAAGGATACTCTTAATTTGGCCCATTTTCAATTTATCACCAATTTGGTTGATAAACATTGTTAATTATTATTTCATGCATTAATAGTAACTACAATTTATACAAAAGTAATTTCGAAATTAAATATAACACTTTAATTTGTGATATAAAAAAATATTACATAGTAATTTTAACAATTAATGAACATCAAAAATTTTCGACGTTTTTAACAATATCTAATGTAAAAATTAATATTTTTTTGTTCGTATTTATACGCTGCCATACCATTCATCAGATTATGGAAAAACTTTGTCAACATATTGCTTGCATTTGCGCGAAAGTTATAGGCGTAGTTGGACCCGGTAGGTGGCGCTTTTGTAAAATCCAGATATCACCCGTGCGAAGACGAGGCATATCACTAGTTTATTATAAAATAAAGTGCTTCATCTAACATTCATATATCAAAGAATACCTCATGTGCCATAAATATGCAAAAAAATATTTTTTACTTTTTTAGTACGGTACCGTTGAGGTAGGTAAAAATAAAATGAACAGTTAACATAACACATGATTTTTTTCATACAAAATATTTTATACAAATTTAGACCAGACACGAGCACGACACTTATCTCCCAAGTAAACTACAAAAAAAAAATAAGAAAGACCTCTAATGTATTTTTTGTATGCTGTAATTGACGCGATTTCTTCGCTATTCGAATATCCATTATAATGATTCTTATTTTATTACATAGACTATACGTCAATGGTAGACCTATTTAAATTTGAAGAAAAATTCCACAGATGTGGATAAGTAATGGATTAAATTTTTTATATCACTTTTTAAACAACGTTTAAGTTGTTACTTAAGGTTGTGACATTGCTTCTACGTGAAAGGGTCAAAACTGTAAAAAGAAGTAAAAATGGTCTTCAAGGAACTGAAAAAAATTAAATAAGTTTCAAATTAATAGCTTCTGAAGTCGGACCTTTATATCTTAGCGCCGACTTCAAAAGTTTTTAAATTATGTTTTGAACTCGATTTTGCTTTAAAAAACCGCACCTAAATATTTAATAAAAACAAAGCTAATTTTTATATACTTTTGCAACGAACTCCTATTATATATATTATAGGAAATGATTTTTGTTTGAGGAAAAAAGAGACCTTAGTAGTGAAATCGTTAAAAAAATTCTATTCTATATTTCAACCCTATCATTTTCTGATTTATATGAGGCAGAAGAAACTAATTTGGCTCCTAACTTCTTTCATGATACCCTGACCTTATTTTATAATTTGTGTTTCCCTAAAATTATCGTAAAAATAACATATAAATCTATTAAAAGCAAATTGATTACGTAAATTGATTAAAAATGTAGCATTAATATACTGTAAAAGAAGTTTGTATATGAAATACCGTCTTTCGACAGCAAACAAAAAAAAATTGGAAAATATATTACAAATATACAAACATTTTAAGGAAATGCATACTGCAAGCCCAGAAACTGGACAATACACGCTACCTACTTAATTCTAACAACAAAAGTAAGGCAGCTTGGCAAATAATAAAAAACGTTAATAATGATATAGCAGTTATTAATGACATTACTACAATAACCTCTAGTGGCAATATATATTATCAGCCAGATCAAATAGCGGGTGTGTTTAACAATTACTTTATAAATTTAACTAATTACATTAAAACACCAAATAAAATAACAACAAATAATGACTATACATCTAAATTGACATTTTATTCCAATTCTATATATCTAGTTCCAATACATAACACTGACATTATAAAAATAATTGTGTCCTTAAAAAATACAAATTCTACAGGTTATGATAATATTAGTGCTAAAATCTTGTAACAATCCTTCAAATATTTGTCTTTCCCACTAACTCATATTATCAATTTATCTTTCGTTCAAGGCATTTTTCAAGCATTATAACGTTTACGAAATCTGTGACTTTGTTCACAAAAATAGTATTTTATTAGAAAAACACAACGATGTTGTAATTAGGGTTAGTAAAAACATACATAAATTGTGTGTACCAAAGCAAAGAATACAACTCTACCCAAAAAATTTATATTGTATGGCAATAAATGTTTACAACAAATTGCCTGCTTGTTTCAAAAAGATGAATAAATATTTTTAAAAGTAAATTATGTCAATGTCTTTTAAATAAATGGGTGCGTTTGGCAGAAAAAAGCGCTAGCAAGCGCTTACAAGCGCTGAAATAGTTTTCGGCCAGGACACGATACTACTTCAGTAGCGCTGACACAATCCGCCATTTTGCTTATTTAATTTGTTTGTTTTGAAATAGAGTTTTTAAGTTGTTTTGTGCAATATTAGTTTTAAGTAATATAATAACGTGAATAAACATATACATGTTATTAAAAATTCATGATTGGTAAGTTTTTAATATGAATACTTTACAAACATATATTTAAATTAGGTTAGGTTCCCCGGTTAAAACTAACATCGTGTCCTGGAGGAAAATAGCTACTTACGATTTGACAGCGCTTACCGCTTACGATCGCCATTTTGCTTACAAGCGCTTGCTAGCGCTTTTT